ACAGCGAGGAGGCAGTGATGGATGCAGGGTGGGGAGGGAGGAGGCGGGGACGGAATTCTGCAAGACCAACCAGAGTTCATGTCAACGGGAAGAGGGGACAGAGAGTCCACCACGTGCATGGCCGCAGCGGCCATCCTGAGTTCATGTCAACAGGAAGAGGGGACAGAGAGTCCACCACGTGCATGGCCACAGCGGCCATCCTGAGTTCATGTCAACGGGAAGAGGGGACAGAGAGTCCACCACGTGCATGGCCGCAGCGGCCATCCTGAGTTCATGTCAACGGGAAGAGGGGACAGAGAGTCCACCACGTGCATGGCCGCAGCGGCCATCCTGAGTTCATGTCAACGGGAAGAGGGGACAGAGAGTCCACCACGTGCATGGCCGCAGCGGCCATCCTGAAGCAGGACCGTCAGGGCTGGGGCGGGGCAGTGGAGCCGCTGGACATGGGGAGGTCAGTCCTGGACTGAGGGCCTGTGGTCGCTTCCCGAGGAGGTTGGACTTTATTCTGAGGGCGGCGAAGGACTTTGGGCCGGGGGGGACAGAATCTGGTCCGTGGTCGGGGGAGGGGTGGGGCTCCTACGGGCAGCACCTGGCTCTGGGGAGGCAGGTCCTGTGTGCAGTTCCAATGATGGGCCTAGAACAGCAGGAGGGGAGGAGTCCAGGACACTCAGGAGGCGGGTGGGAACGGGAACACCTGTCAGAGAGCCAGCCACAGCGGGAGTCCTCTTCCTCCCATGAGCCGAACACGCGGAGGAAAGCAGGGGCTGGTGATGGCCCAACAGTCTTCAGTGTCTGGCCACCATCTTCACCATCTCCTCGGCGTAGCCCCAGCCAGATGTCCTCCTTCAGGCCAGGAGGGGGAGAGGACAGAGTCGTGGGTATGCTGGATGGTGCCTGCCCAGCTCACCACGTCAGGTGGATGGACCCTCTAGCTGAGGAGAGAAGTCGCCACCAAGGCCCTCTGTATCCCGGCCCTGATGATGCGGAAGTGGAGACACAGGCTGCGCCCTTGTGACTTGGCCGGGCCGGGCAGGGAGCGCTGCAGAGCAGCCAGCACATGGGGCCGAGTGTCCTCGCTGCAGGCCGGCTCCTCCCGCGCTGGTCCTGCGCCCCACCTGTCCCAGGTCCGTCTCCCGGAGGCCTCCTGGGTAACCTGCACAGGCCGCCTGCAGTGCAGGGTCTGGCCCAGGAGCTCAGGCAGACAGGCATGTCTCCCCTTCACCAGGAAAGCGAAACGTTTTGCACATCCCTTCCCCCAGCCTGGCCCCCAGCAGGTCTCTGCTTCCTTCCCAGTGGCCAGAGTTGAGCCCTCACAATAGCAGGACAAGGGACCCGCAAAGTAAAGTGTGCTGGTCACACACCTTACTGTATCAACGGGGCTAAAGCAAAAGTGGGAAGAGAAAATGGCTCGGGCTGACCCTCCTGGGATGGCACTCTGCGTGTTTGGATAACTGGGTCATAGTTTCTGTTTCCCATGTTTTGAAAGCTTCTCCTAGGTTAAAGGTCAAAGCAAGGAAGGAAAAACGGAGAAACACCGGGAGTGAGGTTTAAGGCCTTGACCTACAACCTGAGCATGAAGCGTCTGGATGTGAAATTGGGGACAGTTTTCTCTGAGGCAAGGCTGTGGTATGGCCGAGCGGCTGACGCCGGAGCGGGGCATGGTGGGGAGGATGCGGAGTGGGGCTGAGCTGCCGGGCAGGGCTGGGAGGAGTCGGAGGGCCGGGCTGCCTGCTGCTCAGATCCCCTGGGAGATGCAGCCCCAGGCTCTGGAGCGGGGTGGGAGGTCAGGGGCAGAAGCCCAGCCGGCTTCCTCGATGGTCCTGGTGGGTCTGCTACAATGAAGAGGCATCTGGGTGGGGCTTTGAGTCACCCCAGGTGCTTTACCAGTAAGTCCATCATTCTCCTGTGATCAAACACACACCTGGAGCAGAGACAGGCTGACAGTCCTGGTTCAAACTGCACAGAGATGAGCCTCAGCGCAGTGAGGACAAGGTCTGCTAGGTCAGTAAGAGTTCCTGGGAGCTAAGCCTCTGCCCAGGTGGTCCAGCGTCACCATGGCTATGCCACACCCTTCCCCAGCTGTGCCCTGCTGAGTGGGGAACTGCTAATGTGTACTGTCCAGTGTTGGACAGAGGCTGAGACACACAGCCTGGGGGCGATGGTGACAGAGGACCGGGTGTGTGGGAGCACGGGGGCTGGTGATCCTCTGGTGTCCCAGGAGGGACCAGCTCCAGCCGAGGAGAACCTAGCTCTGCAGGTTTGGGGAAACCAGCAGATCGGAGCTGCTTCCTCCCTGCCCAACATGTTGACCAGTAGCCTGCACGCGGTTCTCTGAGGTCAGCGTCCAGCCTTCCCTGAGAAGAACTCCATTTCAGATTCCGAACACAAAGGCCAGGGACAGATCAGGGGCGGGGTGGGGTGGGGGCAACCAACACCCTGTTATTTGGGGCTTTCCAGTCTTTAATATTTTTTTTTCAAACTTCACCTGAGGATATTCTATTTATCTTCAGATAGAATGGGAGGGAGAGAGGGAGAGGGAAACATCGATGTGAGAGGAACACATCGACTGGCTGCCTCCCTCACAACCCACCGCAACCGAGGTAGGTGCCCTTGACCAGCATCAAACCCGGGATTCATTGGTCCAGGCCAACGCTCTAACCACTGAACAAATCTGCCAGGGCGAGGCTTTTCTAGTGTTGCTCTGGCTGATCCCAGAGGTATGTTATTTGTTTTTCTTTCTCTCTCTCTCTCTCTCTCTCTTTTTTTTATCACTGCCTGAGAATATGTTTATTGCTTTGAGAGAGAGAGAGAGAGAAATATTGATCTGTTGCCTCCTAACAGGAATTGAACCCCCAACCATTTTGGTGCGTGGGATAACAGTCCAATTAACTGAGCCACCCAGCCAGGGCTGTTGTTTGTTTTTCAAATGTTAATGTTAATGTTTTATTGTAGCCCAGTCATTGGTCAAAACGGAATTGTTGGCTGTCTGGGTCAAAGCTGCAAATCCAGCCTGCTCCCGGCTTGCTCTGCACTGTGCAGAGTGTGACTGGTGTGCCCCTCAGCACACGTTGGTGCTGACACTGGTGCGGGATGTCTTGGTCTGGCGTCACCCGACACCCTGAGCCAAGGACTTGGGTACAGAATGTTGGGAGCCTCTTGGGAAATTGGGGTGCAGATGAGAAAGTGGGGTCCAGATGAGCCAAAGCTTGTGCCCTGGATCATGGGGTACGCTCCTGCTGGGGTGCCTTGGGGGTCTTCCCTGCAAAGATGGGAGCCTGGGGAGGGCCCTAGAGAGGAGACCCCCCCAAGTTAGGAACTGCTTTAACTGCAAGTGAAGGGCGGGCAGGGCTCAGGGCTCATTCCAGTGTCTGCACAGTGAACGAGGGCCTCCAGGGTGGTGGGAGAGATACAGCACCCCAAGGAGAAGAGCGGGAACATGAGGCATAGAGCTGGCAAGGGGCCTGCTCCCCGCCCACCAAAGCTCCTTCCCCCTCCAGGCCCAGGCAGTATGCCCTCAACTTTGCCTCAGCTTCATGAATTTGGTTCTGGGACTTGTACCCAAACTGTCCTTACTGAGATGGAAATGATGCCTTAAGCCCAAGCTCTGGAGACAAATGTGGCCTCCCCGTGTGGCCGGCCAGTGGGCTGGGCCTAGGACCCTCCACCGGGCCGTGCAGAAACCGCTGTCGGGACCTCCACAACAGTGGCCGGGCCCGGCTGCCGGCGTCCACGCAGTGGCCCCCGCAGTGTGCTTACTGTACAAACACCTTTTATTTGGATGTGGCTACTCAGTAAATATTGAGCAGTGCCATCCCAGACAGCTGCCAGGCAGAAAGAGAGAAGTGGTGGTTTTTCAAGATAGCGGGGCGATTAGGAAGTGAGCGGTCAACGGTAGTGAAGCCAGTTTTCTCTTCAGTGACTCCTTGTCCCAGCCCCCCACCCCCCGAGCAGACAGAAGAAGGTAGTGACTGTGAGCCCTTGAATCAGCTAAGACAAGTCCTTGCACGTCATAACTTATTTCACTTCTAAGTGACAGCAGGTGCGTGCAGTTACGGGCTGTGCCCGGCCTGAGAGGTCAGGAGACCCGTGGGGGGGCCGGGCCAGGGTGGAGGAGTCTCCGATGCACAGCTTTCTCAGGAAAACTTTGACTTTGAAGCCAAATGCCTCATTATGTTTCTGTGTGCATAGTGCCAGCCTTGTCATTGAGAATGAACCACAAGTCAAATGCATTGTGTGTCCAGCCCGAGCGAGCCCCTCACGGCAGGCGGCAGCGGAGTGGCACCACACAGGGGACCCAAGGGGAGTGGGCACCCACAGACAAACACATCCTTTGGACAGGGTTCCTTTCCCAGCCTCCTGAAATGCCCCACATAAGTGACAGGAGCCCAGAGGAGAATCTTTGCATGTCACATCCTGCCTCCCTCCTCGAAGGTCTTTTGTGAGGGACAAAGTGCTTTCTAGTCCTTGCGGGGCGGGGGGGTCCTGGAAGCCTGACACAGGGGTCCTACTGCCATGCGGTTTTCCGAGAGGCCCTCTCCACCCAGGTCTTACTATATAACAATTTTATCGTCAATCACTTATTTTCCTGCAAATCTACCCTCTATATTGGATCCCAAAGCTGGGGAGGAAAGCAAAGGGCGGTGTAATGGGCGGTGGCAGTGTGACATGCTGGTCTTTGCTGCAAATCAGAGCAGAACCACGGGACAGAAGGTCTCCATCTAAGCAGAGATGTGGAGGCCTTGATAGCACCATTTTGATTTTAAGAAACTAAGGCTGAATGTTTCCATACACTTGCTCTGGAGACACTAATTGCTGAGACAGAGTCCCCAGCCAGGCGTGACGGTGGATCAGGATTCTCGATAGTAAGGGCTTTGGAGACTAGTTTTCTGGAAGAGCTAGGTTTGCTGTCACATAATCCCAAGAGCCGGTTCTTTCCCAGGCAAGGGATAATAACAGCGTTTCCATATTCACCACAACGAATTAAAATGTCCAAGAGAATATGCAGAGTATGATTTTATCACTCAGTCTGAAAAGATGGTCTGTTCGTCCCACTGTCGTGTCGTTAATCTGTTTATCATCCAGATGGCAAATGCTGACGCAACCTTTGAGAGCCAGTGATTCAGGTTCGAAGAGCATTTCCCACAGGGCAGGACTCCTGGGCTCCTCAGTGATAGTAGATGCTGAAGGCGTGGAGGATGTAGAACAGGGTAGTGATGAAGGCGAAAAACTGGAAGGGGATGAGAGTGATTGAGTTATAGACGGTTGTGCTGGCCGCTGCCCATTCCTATAAGAGACCCTCAGGCGCTGCTGCCCAGGTGGCACATGCTCTGACCCTGTTGTGTCCTGGGTCTGCTTGAGGACAGCAGCCACCAGCCAGCTGTTCCATACTCCCTGAAACTGTCCACCAGGGGTATCCTGAGGCCATACTCCCCTGTCCTGCTTGTGCCTCATTTACAGACTTGTGCGTCCCTACCTGCCCTGGGCCTGCTCTCTCGTGCTGTCCTCTTGTCATGGTGTCTCCCCTTGTCACCTTCAGTCACCATTTGTGCTCTGACAGCTCCCACAGTTTCACTCGCCAGCCCAGACTCCGCTCAGCCCGCTAGTCAGCTCCTCCTGAGACCCAGAGGCTCCTTCAGCTCTTGATGGTCCAGACTGAGCTCCTGAGATTTCCCCACAAGCCGGACAAGCTCAGTCAGCGTCAGGGCCCTCCTCCTGTCCAGCTCCACAAGCCGGACACCTGTGACCCCCCCCACTCTTCCCTCCTCCACCCACCGTGGCCAAAGTCAAAGGTCATCTGACTGCACTGCCTGATGATACACTCCTCCCTCGTCTCAGTGCCCGATCCCTCGCCAGGACTTCTCATGGCCGCCACCTGTCCGTTTCTGCCCACTCGGCCCCTCTAACCTGCCTGAGAGGAAAACATGACCTTGTTTCACCAGCATGTGATGAAAACCATGATAACCCCACTTCTCAGGATAGAGGTCCTTGCCCTTAACATGTCTTCCAGGCCTGGCCACTGCCCCAGCCTGTCCTGCTGACCACTCACACTCTGTTCTCATTCATTCATTCATTCAACAAGTATCTTTTAGGTGCCGGCTATAGTTCAGAAATGACAGTGGCTATAACAGTGAACATTCAAAGCTCCTGTCCTGGGGCGAGGGGGTCCCTGCCAAGGCCCTGAGGCCAGAGCGCGTCTTGTGTGCTCAGGGCAGCAAAGAGGCCAGTGCGGCTGCAGCAGCAAACTGAGAGCCGGCAGCAGGTGCTGGGCCAGGCCGCGAAGGGCAGACAGGCTGGAGGGACAGCTGAATACTTGTGGCTACCCTGGTGGGTCACGGTGCTTGCCTGGCACCCCATTCTTAGGCTAGAACAGCACCCCATGCTGCACCCCTTTGCCACCTGATCCTCATGGGAGCCCCCAGTGACATGGACTTGACCTTTCTGGTCATAGTGACACCATGGTGATTGGGACCCAGCCTGGGTACTAGAGTCCTGCCTTGGAAGTCTCCCAGGTTGGGTTAAAGGTTAGGCCTGTCGGAGGAGGAATCTGCCTGCTGTGAGCTTCCTGCCGCATGAGGGCGCCATTGCATACAGGGAGGAAGGAGGCGCTGTGCAGAGACTAGGAGGGGAGCAAAAGGGCCTGGAGTCCGGTCCCTTGGGCCTAAGGTCTGGGGTCCTGCCTGTCCCACCATTTGGCTGGGCCACCTTGCCTTGGGTCCCATTCGTGAAATAAAAGGACACCCGGACAGTGCAGCCAGCTGAGGAATCTGGGCTCCACTCCACAGCGATGAGTGACGCATGTTCCAATTTGAGTTTTGGAAAAAAAAATATTCTAAGGGAAGTGAAGTGGATGTAAGAGGGCGGGGGTGGGAAAAACAGAAGATGAAAGGTGACACCTGAACTTGGGCCTGGGCACACGTGCCGCCCCCCACACCCCCCCTCTCCTGCCCTCCCGGCTCCGTGGGCCCCAGGGCTCAGGTGGTCTGTTCTGCAGGAGGCAGAACCAAGCCCACTGGCAGCCGTCCCCACACGGCCAGGGCCAGCACTCACCGAGGCTGCGCTGTTCGTCATGTAGTTGTTCAGGTCCTGGGTCTCAGAGACGATGGTGGCGTGGGCCTGCAGGACAGCCGCGCTCATGTACAGGATGCCGGTGGTCCCGTGGTACAGGCTGTCCTGTAGGCAGAGCCCGGGCACATCACACGGGCGCCTCCCCAGCTCCCCTCCCACTGCCCGGCTGGGGGAGCAGACACAGGCCAGTCCTGCTCCCCAGCTCCTGCTTTTTTTTTTTTTTTTTTGCAGTGTTTCTAATGACACATCTGTGTAGTGAACATAGTGGACTGATAAACAGCAGTGATAATATCAATAGCAGCCAACACTGATTGAGAGCTGACTCTGTGCCGAGCGCCAGGCCCGGCCATTTTCTCACTTCTCTCCTTTAACCCTGTCGGCAAGGAGGCGGCTCCTACCTCTCATTCGTGCCATCTTGGGGAAGGAAAGCCAGGTTCAGGTGGATGAATACAGGCTGAGTCAGGATTCGAACCAGGCCATGTCAACTCCAAGCTTATGCTCTTAACCATTCGTGTTATGAACACCTACTATGTGCTAGTTTCATGAGGCTGCTCTACTATTATCTCTGTCTATGGAGGAGGAAACTGAGGCTGAGCAGTAGAGTTGGTAGAGTCAGCTCATCTGATTTCAGGTTTCAATTCGGAAACCTCTGTGCTAAACTCTGAGCCGTGTTCTTTAGTTCAGCAAGAATGCTATGCAGCCGTTAAAAGTGGTTATCAGCCCTGGTCGGTTTGGCTCAGCAGTTGGAGCGTCTGCCTGCGGCCCAGAGAGACCCGGGTTCGGTTCCTGCTAAGGGCATGTACCTCGGTTGCGGTTTGTCCCGGCCCTGGTTGGTCGTCCAGGTGGCAGCCACTCCATGTGTCCCTTTCATGTCGATGTTTCTCTCTCTCTCTCTCTCTCTCTCTCTCTCCCTCCCACTCTACCTGAACAAAAAACGAAAAAATGTCCTCAGGTGAGGATAAAAGAAAAAAAAAAAAGTGGTTATCAGTTCTGGAAGGAATGTCGTCATAGGGAGTCGGCATTTTGCAACGCTGTATGGAATATTCAGTTCAGGAAAACTCATCAGTAGATGAAAAAAATGCATTAGAGAAAAAGTTGGTGAGGCAAGACTGTCACCCTCCCCAAGAAAGGAGTCCCTAGTCACTGTGTGACGTGGCCTGAAGCCACTTGCGAAGTGTTCTGCTGCGAGGCTCACCGCTCTCCGTCAGCCTGCAGTGCTCACCGCCAGCTTAGGGTTTGGGGACTGGGGGGTGAGCTGAGTCACATCAGGAAGAAGCAAACAGACAAACCCAAAATGAGGGACATCCTACAGGACAGCTGACCCAGTGTCTTCAAGGTCACTGGCAGGGAGAGTCATTCTGGACTAACGGTATCCAGGCACCGGAACTGCCAAGTGTGACCCACGGTCCCGGTGAGGGTCCCGGTGAGGGTCCCGGCTCAAACAGCCAACGGAGAAAAGACGTCCCAGAGATGACCGGGAACCCTGAGTGCCTGGGTCTCAGATGACACTGAGGATTACTGTTGACTTTGCATGTGAAAATGTAAGAAAGCTGAATTTTTTGGAGGTATACTGAAGTGTAGGGAATGGAATGACATGATAGTTGAGGTTTGCTTTGAAATTCTTCAGGAAAAAACCAAGGCAAGGTGAGCAAATGTGGTAAATCTGGATAATGCTGGGATCTGAGCTATGGCTACACGAGCGTCGGTAACATAACCCTCTATACTTTTGTGTGTATTTTTTTTTCTTTATTGATTTTAGAGAGAGAGGGAGAGAGAGATAGAAACATTGATGAGAGAGACCATCGATTGGCCGCCTCCTGCATGCCCTGCACTGAGAATTGGGCCCACAACCTGGGCATGTGCCCTGACTAGGAATCAAACTGGCGACCTCTGGGTGCATGGATCGATGCTCAACCACTGAGCCACACTGGCCGGGCCTTTTATGTATATTTTAAGTTGCTCAATATAGAAACATTTTCATGGTTATTAAATTATGTGACAAAATGAAAAAAAACTAATGATGTAATATTAAGTGAAAAAATTGACATCCAAATTACTGGTTCAGTGTGATTGAAATATATACACATTTTGCACAAAATTTGTGAGGAATACGGGAGAATGAACCCACTGGTTGTGATAGGACCTCGAGAGTAGGGTGACTTTTTCCTGCTAACATTTTCTTCGATGTTGCTCCACTGATTTTACTGAATGAGATTTAGGGAAAATGTGTCAGGAGTACAGTCAACCTTTGACCAACACGGATTTGAACTGTGCGGGTCTATTTAAAAGTGGATTTTTTTCAATAAATATTGTAAATGTATATCTTCTTCACGGTTTTCTTTTCTTTTCTTTTTATTCTCACCTGAGGACATTTTTTTTCCATTTTTTGTTCAGATAGAGTAGGAGGAAGAGAGAGAGAGAGAAACATCGACTTGAAAGGGACACATCGAGTAGCTGCCACCCGCACGACCCAACCAGGGCCGGGGACAAACTGCAACCGAGGTACGTGCCCTTAGTGGGAACCGAACCCTGGTCTCTCTGGACCATAGGCCGACGCTCTAACCGCTGAGCAAAACTGGCCAGGGCCATGGTTTTCTTAAGAAGACATTTCACATGAGAAATCCAGATTTCAGACATTTCTTGAGACATCCATAGTTCTGGCTACAGTGAACCCATTTCCTAGGCAAGAGAAGGCTGAAATGGGTTGTAACTGTCTCTTTAAAAAGGACCTGGATACCCTGGCCATTTTGGCTCAGCGGTTAGAGCGTTGGCCTGTGGTCCAGAGAGACCCGGGTTCGGTTCCCACTAAGGGCGCATACCTTGGTTGCAGTTTGTTCCCGGCCCTGGTTGGGTCGTGCGGGTGGCAACCACTCGATGTGTCCCTTTCATGTCGATGTCTCTCTCTCTTCCTCTCTCTCCCTCCCACTCTACCTGAACAAAAAATGGAAAAATGTCCTCATTTTCCATTGAGGATAAAGAAAAAGAAAAAAAAAAGGACCCGGAGACTTCAGTGGACCACAACCCCCTCCCCTACAACCCCATGTCATTGTGTGGCACATTCTGACACTCACTTTCACTCTCCTTCTCCTGGCTCCTGTCACTCATTGACATGCCTGCCTGGTCCCCTGGTCCTGTGAGCACTTGGTTTGGTTGTCCCCGACCCCCCATTTTATAGTATCTGATGGCCTGGGGTCAGTTTTCTTTTTTCTGGCTTACTTTATTGTAAGAATACAATATATAATACATGTAACATACAAAAGGTGTTAATTGACTGTTTATGTTATCAGCAAGGCCTCTGGTCAATAAACAATAGGCTATTAGTAATCATACTTTGGGGGAGTCAAATGCTATAAGTATATTTTCAACTGTGTGGGAGTTCGGGCTCCCTAATCCCGCGCTGTTTAAGGGTCAACCGTGTACGGAATGTGCATGTTCCCAACAAGGAAGGCACAGGAGGGGAAGACAATGAGCTTTACTGGCAGAGCAGCGCTTTCGTTCGGTTCCACGGTAAACACATTCACCTAAAAAGCCTTGGTTCTACGGGGTCCAGCCCAGGAAAGATCTCTAGTTCTCCCCCGCCCCCAGAAAGCCTGTTGTCCTCACAACGCCCAGGACGCCAGTCTGGGAGAAGCCCGAAGGCCTGAATCCCCCTCACCAATTCTTACCAGGACTCTCCAGGACTCGTATCTCTTGTAAAATCCAAACAAGTAAGACAACAGGAACATGAGGGAGATGAGGAACGAGGTCAGCGACACATATATCACCCACCCTTGCAGCAGCGGGTTTCCCACGTGGGTGGCGGCCACCAGGATCCAGACCCAGCACCCAAACACCTGTAAGAGAAAACCACTGAAGGAGAGGTTTCATTTGCTTGTTTCCCTTTGCAGGGTCTCTCTTCTCTGTCTCTGGTTAAAAGCTTTTCAGGTGCAGTTAGGTAGGAATCCAGGGAAATGGGGAGGAAGGCTGGCCCCCTGAGACAGTAAATTATGTTAAAAAAAATCCAAGGGGTTAACACAGAGGTTGTCCATAGTTGGCTAAATTTGGCTTGTGGACATGTCTTCTTGGCCCAAACAGTGCTGGCATATACAGTTGTTTATTTATTTTATTCCTCACCTGAGGATATTTGTCTATTTATCTTCAGATAGAGTGGGAGGGAGGGAGGGAAGAAGAGAGAGAGAAACATCAATGTGAGAGGGACACATCTACTGGCTGCCTCCTGCATGACCCCAACTGGGGCAGGGGACAAACTGCAACTTAGGTATGTGCCCTTGACCAGAATTGAACCCAAGACTCATTGGTCCAAGGGCCGATGCTCTAACCACTGAGAAAAAGCGGCCAGGGCAAGTTTTTTAAATGTGTCTAAATGAGTGATCAATATTTAAAGAAGACATTTCACGAAAGAAAGCCAGATTTCAAACATTTCTTGAGAAATCGATAGTTCTGGCTATAGCGAACCCATATCCCAGGCAAGAGTAGGCTGAACTGAGTTGTGACTGTCTCCTTAAAAAGGACCTGGAGTCCGCAGTGGACCACATCGCCCTCCCCTGCAACCCCACGCCATTGTGTGGCAGTTCCTCACTCATTTTCACTGTGGAATAGTACCCTCCTCCGCCCAGCTCTCTGCGCCCGCCGCCGGCAGTACCTGCCTGGTCCTGTGGGCACTGTTTGGTTCCCCCACCCCCACCTCAGTTTATACTATCTGATGCCCTGGGGTCAGTTTCCAGCTGGGCAATACAATTTTAATGTAATTATCTCTTAACTGTGTCCTGCCATTTATTACCCCCTTGGTGGAGAAGCCAAGCCTTTTTCCTGTCTTCTCTAGGCCCTGCGTTTGTTTGCTTTGGGGCTGGGCTTACCCCCCTGTTGGTGAGCCTAGGGGAGGAACTACATGTCCACTAGAGGCACATCCAGTTAGAGGCCTGGAAGAGAACTTCTACATGAGCTCCAAGTGTGTGGTTTGTAGTTTTTTTTTTTGGTTGTTGTTGTTGTTAATCCTCACCTGAGTGTATTTTTTCCATTAAGTTTTAGAGAGAGTGAAAGGAAGGGAGGGAAGATAGAGAGAGAAAAAAACATCAATGTGACAGAGACACATCAATTGGTTGCCTCTTGCACGAGTCCTGACAGGGGCCAGGGATCAAACCTGCAACCCAGGTACGTACCCTTGACTGGGAATCAAACCCAAGACCCTTCGTGAAGGTCAGAGGCCGCTGCTGTAACCACTGAGCCACACCAGCCAGGGCACCAAGTGTTTTTTGTTTGTTTTTTATCTTCACCCAAGGACATTTTTCCATTTTTTGTTCAGATAGAGTGGGAGGGAGAGAGAGAGAAACATCGACGTGAAAGGGACACATCGAGTGGCTGCCACCCGCACGACCAACCAGGTCTGGGGACAAACTGCAACCGAGGTACATGCCCTTAGCAGGAACCGAACCCGGGTCTCTCTGGACCACAGGCCGATGCTCTAACCGCTGAGCCAAACCGGCCAGGGCCACCAAGTGGTCTTTTAAAAAATTGGTTTAAGAGAGAGAGAGAGAGAAACAGCGATTTGTTGTTCCACTTATTTATGCATTCACTGGTTGATTCTTGAATGTGCCTTGATCGGGGATCAAACCTGCAACCTTGGCATATCGGGATGATGTTCTAACCAACTGAATTACCCAGCCAGGTCCTCCAAGTGGTTTTGTTGTTGACTTGTTTCTGGCTCTCTGAGTACTCTCCTTCCCGGGGCCTCCTTAGGATGTCCTGCGAGTCTCCTCATCCTCCCCCTCTTCACTCCAGTTAAATCTGAGCTTTGAAGGACCGCGTAGTGTGGATCTCATGGACCACTACCAGCCTATTTCTCTCTGTGGCCTTCAGCCCCACACATCCATCCACTTGCCTACTCTCCACAGAGGCCAACACTGCACTTGCATGACCCTGAAGGGGAGTTTCTTATTACATTTTGACATTTTTCACCCAGGCATCTCACTGGCCTTACCCCAGTCCTGGCCCTATTCCTCAGCTCCTCAAATCCAACAGGTACAAAATCTGAACTCACTGCCCCTCCCAAATTCCTTCTGAACCCTCCCTCCCCAGCACCTGCTAAGCACAGCCTCCTGAGGAAGGAAGAGCGATGGGCTGGGAATGGGTGTATGGAGGCCTCCGAAGACCACGACAACGTTCCACTGCTTGCTCTGCACTGTGAGCACATGGGAGTTTATCTTTTATCAAGTAATAAAATAATTTTGCAATAGAAGAGTCTGTTAGATTATGACCACTGGAGGTTTGTGGTGACTGAGGGAGCCAAGAATGTCTCCTGGGTTTGTAGTTTGGAGAAATCACACTACCAGATTTTAAACTTTCTGTACAGTCATTATAATCAAAACAGTTGTCAGTGCAGGTGACTCACATTTCTGCCAATCTCACGAGACAGCTCACCCCCTTCCCCAGTTCCACTGCCTTTCCACATAAAATTCAGAATCAGCTAGTCAATATCTGAATCTCTAGCTGCTGGGGTTTTGTGTCAAATCTAGAGATCAATTTGGAAAGAGCGAACATCTTTTCTATGTTGAGTTTTCCAATCCATAGACATGGTATGCCTCTCCAATGATTAAGATGTTATTTGCATTTTTTAAAATCAATGTTTTGTAAATTGGGGCCAGATTGCTGTGCACATTTTCTGATGTTTATGCTTTAGTATTTGATTTGGGGGGAGCTACTGTAAATAGCATTGCTTAATTAAAAGAAAATTTTTTTTCCAACTGTTCATTGCTAATGGATAGAAACAGGATTGATATTGTGTGTTGACAGTGTACTCTGCAACTTGCTAAACTCACTTATTCAAGGAGGGTGTTTTTCTTTTCTTTACTTTTGGTGGTGGTTTGGTATATTCCTTGGGATTTTCTATGTAGCTCATTAGAGTTTAATTTTTATGATTACTAATGAGCTTATTTTCATTATTTCCTTTTCTGTAAATTTTTTTTATTTTTTTCAATTTTCTTATAACTTTGTCTTTTCTTACTGATTCAGAGTAATTCTTTCTAATAGTGTGGATTTTGTTGACAATTATAAATATCACAAATATATTCTGCTGGCGCATCTCACACATTTTATGGTATCTTTGATGAACTGAATTTTTTTTTTAATGTTTTCATTGATTTTTTTTTTTTAGAGAGAGGATGTGAAAGAGAAACATTGACCAGCTGCCTCCTGCATGCCCCCTACTGGGGATCAAGCATGCAACCTGGGCATGTGCCCTGACTGTCAACTGGGACCTCTCAGTCCATGAGATGATGCTGAATACATTGAGCCACACTGGCTAGGCTGAGTTTTAAATTTTAATGTAATTCAATATGTTAATTGTTTCCATTATACACTGTGTTTTTTGGATCAAGTTTAAGAATTCCTTCCCTACCATGAGCTATGAAGATATTCTTGCATCTCAGATATTCCTTTGGGAATATCTTCTTTCTCTCTGAGGTACAGTATTTATTATTTATTTATTTATTGTTGTACGAATTCTAATTAGGAGACATTACATGCAGAATTACAGTGTTCAAAGTGATAATTCTCAGAAGACTATAACAGCTTCTTTGCCAGTTAAAAGCTTCTTTGTCAGTTAAGGGGTACAGAGGGCACAGCTGTTTATCTGAATGTATTCTTTTTTTTATTTTTATTTCTCACTAGGAATAAAATTGATTTTTTAAAGAGAGAAACATCGATGTGACAGAGAAACATCCATGGATTGCCGCCCTTACACACCACCACTGGGGATCGAACCCACAACCTGGCATGTGTCGGGACCAGGAAGCCCACGAGCGACCTATCTGTGGCATGTGTCGGGACCAGGAAGCCCACGAGCGACCTATCTGTGCACGTGAAGCGGCTCAACCAGCCGAGCCACACGGGCCCACCTATACTTTCTGCTAAAGCGAGCAGATGCTCTTTCCCAATTCTGAGACGTGTTTGGCAGGTTTTATCATTTCTGTTTTGCATTTTCCACTCTGTTCCTCCTGGCCGTTAGCTCTCCTGCAGCGGTGGGCTGCGCACAGGCCGGCAGCACCAGGGTGGCCACAAGCCCCCTGTCCCCCCTCCCCGGGTGGCCACAAGCCCCCTGCCCCCCCCCTCCGGCTGCCCGCCGCTGGGGTCCGTGGGCGCCGCAGGGCGGAGGGCAGAGACCCTCTGGACTAGAGATGCCACCTACTTCCGTCCAGCACGGCGGAAAGACACACACTTGCTTTTTATAACATATCCTGACTTTCTGGGACTGCAGTTCTCATCTTACAACAAACCCCTCGACACGTTAACGTAGGACGTCCCCTATCCCTGGCAAGGCTTCCACGGCTGCTGTCCTGCGGCGGAAAAGTGCTTTGGAATTTATGGAGGATTCGGGGCTTTTAATGAGGGAAGGGGACAGGAGGTGGACCACAGGCTGGGCTCTCGGCGGCTGGGCAGCACCTCCAGAGGCCGGGCTCTCTTGAAGCACCGCCCCTGGGAGACGGCAGCAGCGATTCTCCAAGGGATTCCGGGAGCCAGGCTGGGCCTGCAACTGCCGTGAGCGACTCGGGGCTGCCCCAGCTGCTGTTTCCCCTGAACTGGGCCCCTGCATGTCAGTCCCAGTGCCAGGCACTGCTGATGCTGCAGGGAGGTGCCAGGGCTCAGCTTTAGGGCACCTGGCAAGTGTCCTGCCCCCCACACCATGGAAAGTACAACCAAATGCTGTCACATGGCCAACACCCAAACACTGCTGGCTCTTAGTGGGGATGGCAGTCAGGATTTAGTGACTACACCAGAGCTTGTCGTATTTTAGACTCACATCAGACCTCTGAGGGCAGAGAATGGTCGGTGCCATCTA